ACCCACCCAGTCACCCAGCTACACAAGCCACAGAGAAAGAAGTAGAGAAAGGTGTACAGAAATAGAGAAAGATAAAAGCCTGGAGACAAAGGATAAATGGGATCATTTAACTTAAGAAAAACTTTCTGGAAACAAGCCAAGTTAAGGCTGAGCATTCAATGTAAGACTAAGACTCCATGTGTGATTTATTTGGAAGCAGAGTGGCGGGCTCCCCAAAGAGCAAAAGAGTAAAATAGCAACTACATATATGCCTCAAATTTCACTTTTAGCTGACAACATTGTTAGGTCTCAAACCTGGAACAGACATCTGAGGAGGCTATCAACACCAAAACTGACGAAGGCTCCAGGTTCTCTTAGCATCCCTCAGTGCCCACCTGCTACGGGCTCTTCCTGGCTGTCATTCACGGCCCCCTCCCCTAAACTTCTCCAGGGGCTGAGCTGCCCTTCCCTCAGCTCTTCCTGTGTAAACCAGTCATTTTGGCTATACTCTTCTCCCCCACCCCGCTTAAGGCCTCTGCCTCCTGACCTCTTAGCTCCTGGCCCTCCTTCCCTCTCCTCACGGGGCCTAGCTCAGTCTTCTGGTCATCCACTCCGAACTCTTCCAGCTATCTCTGCCTCTACCAGTTTTTTCCCTTATATCCATAATAAAATCCTCAACCCCGTAGGAACACTCATACCTTCCTTCTGGTTATTCTTTTTTCATGGAACAACCAGATTTTTACTCGTTGTAGTTTGTGTCCTGGGTCCTCAGGACAACAAGGTCACCATCAACTTGGAGCCTGTAGTATTAGAATAGGCCTATTTTTAGGAGTCTTGTGGGGAGGAAGGCATGTGGATACGCTAAAACTCTGGGAAGCAAGAGGGACAGCAGAAGATACGCCCCAGGGGCACTTTGACAATCATCCTCTTCTCAGTCTCAATGGGTCAAGACAACTGACTTGATTCTCCCTACTCGCTGCTGTCTTGCTCTTTTCTCTTGGTCAGGGGTGTCAGGAAGGGCGACCCTAAGACCAAGAGTTTACAAGTATGGGGTATCAATCGACTCTCCTTAACGTGAAGCAGGGTTTATTCAGCTAAACCTGTTATAGGCTGAAAACAAGGCAAGTCCAAAGATGCACTCGGCATGTTTCACCTGCTGCCATCAGTGCAGCTCAGAGCATTGGCTGTCTCCTGTCATGAGCTAACAACCATCTAGAACTGGACTTCACCTCTGGTATCCTAGCGGAAGGAACATACCTCAGATTACAAGCCCAGGAAAAGAACAAAATTCAAAGTTGAAGTACAATCTTTACTGGATGTAGACCATTTTTCCATCATATAAAATTGAATGACCGTATTTATCTTCATTGGGCCCATCCACTGGTCACGGAACCACGACCTTGGTAATATTATCACATATATGCAGAGGCAGAAATTCTGTTCGGGATTTTTCTGTTATATTTATGCAGAAAGATCATTTTAGAAACAAACCAGGATTGATATTGTACAATTAGGCTTCAATTTTAAACGATACAGCAAACCCTGTATATCCCAACCATCTAGAGGAATTTTCCCAGCCCTCCTCCTATTTCTCTTGGACCATCAGCAAGCTGAATGGCAAGGGACCCAGAAGATCTTAAGTTATCCTGAAGACATGAAGACATGGGAAGTTGGCTATAAAATTACATTTGGGTATTTTTCTTATTCCCTGCTCAAACGCTGTCCAAATTTTCTCTATGAAATTGGAAACCGCCTTCCTTTTCCCTGCCCCTGCACTCTGCATGTCTAGAGCTAAATAATCTACCCTTCTCTCCCTGCCCCACTGCCTAGAATACTTAGCAGCATTAGAAAGTCATTCTTCACTGTCTGAACTACTAAAAGAAAAAACCAGTCTATAACAACGAGCTTCCTACCACTGCCAAGATAAATCGTAATCAATCACAAAAAAAAAAAAAAAAAAAAAAAAAAAAAACAGGGCATAATCCAAGGAAGTACCAACGGCTTAAAAGAAAAGTAAGACATGTGCTTGACTAAATGTAGTGGGCTCATAAACATCTAGAAATCAGGCGGCTGCAATATAAAAAGTGTGTTAGGGGTGTTCATATGGTATCCAGACAAGAATTTACATGGTATTTCAGTACAAAACACAGTGCACTGTCCTCCTGTGATTTCCTTTGGTTTTCCTCACCTTTGCTTCATCTCAGAGTGGGAGATAAGAATTAGTGTAGTCCACACTCACTACAGAGCATCCTGGTCCCCCCCCCTTCACTCTGAACACGGGAAGTGTGCCGTACATGTCAGCCCCGTGTCCCACGTCTTTAGCATAATCCACAGTCCTAGAATGTGAACAGCATGTTAGATTCTCAGTCCTAAACCATGCAGAGCAAGTCTTGTCTAAAAAGCATGTGACAGGGTCAAGCCTGACTTATCCAAGGATTCCACTGCATAAACTGCATTTATTAACGCTTAAGGGAGGCTAGCCTTGAGCTTTCCCATAGGACAGGGGGCAGGGAGAGAGAAATCAAATAAATTCCAGCTAGATAAGCAGTCTGGGTGCAGGACAGGAATGGTGGGGGAGGGGCTGAGGAGGTCATAAAGCCAGGAAGCAGTAAGGTTCATTAGACCAGAGTATGAAAGGAAACTGTCCACACAGCTAATAAAGAGGTCACGACAAGAGAGATTGGTTCCCAGGACCTTGTGCGAGTCAGCATCTGGCAGCGGACTTGTATATATGACAACGTGAACAAATTAGATAGAAGACTCAGTGGGCTGAGAAGTCAAGAGAGTTCAGGAGAGACGCTGGAGTCGTGAGAGCCCTGAAGTCATGAGAGATGAAATCAACTAAGCTTTCACGTGGAACAAAGCGGTCAGTTTCTAAGTAATCTTCATAAGAATGAAAACGTCCTTTAGGAAATTCAGAGAGATTAAAGATCAGTCCATGTCGGCACACACGGTCTCTTCTGCCGTCCTGGCTCATGTGCTTCTCTCCCATCCAGCAGCTTATACTTAGCATGCCTCAACACAACAAGATCACTTGCCCAGGTTCACCAAGGACAACCCACAACGGCACATTTGCTATTCTTGGTGCCAGTTCTTAGCCACATGCGTGAAAAGGCAGCATTTTCCTTAATGTACTCACGAAAAGAGATTCCCCACCTCCACTAGCCTTCCCTCTGCCGGAAATGGGCGTCCCGCGTCAGCAATGTTTCCTGTGTGCTGAGCCTCACCCCACCCCAGATGCCCGAGTCCAGCTGCTCTTGCTAACAAGGGTTTGTCTCTCAAGGATATAAAGCTATGCACACTGACTGAGATCCGTCCCAAGGGACAGTGGCTTTCTACCTCTCCTATCTTCTGGTGCTTAGCCATGCATCTAGGGCCACTGCATGAGAGCAGTCTCCTGAGCACCGACTTGGCACTTTCAAGCTAAGAACTCGATAAGTTCCCTTCATGTCATAGTCATTTTTGTCACCACGACAGTCATTCAGCTCAATTGTAAGTTTGTTTTTCTGAACCTGTCCTAGTTTGAGCAGGCCTTCGAGCATGCTAGATATTGAATTTGAGGCACACCTCGTAGTCTCAGCTTCCCTTCCACATCCACTGCAAAGACACAGCTAGTAGTCTCAGCTTCTGCCCATGCCCACGGCAGAGGCCCAGCTCCTAGTCCCAGCTTTCCGCCCACGCCCACGGCAGAAAGATGAGCTTTGCTTCAGAGTCATTTGCTGCATGAGAACCCAAACCCACTCAGGAGATGGGAAGCAGAAGGGAACACCTGTCTCAGAAATCCCCCAGGAGGAAGACCAAGGGTTTTTGTTTGGGTGGTTTTTGATTTGGGTTTTTGTTTGTTTGCTCAGTGTGGGTAATGTGAGACAATGTTTCTCTGTGTAGCCCTGGCTGCCCTGGAACTCGCTCTGAAGACCAGGCTAGAGTTGGACTCACAGACATCCGCCTGCCTCTGCTTCCCAAGTGCTGGGATTAAAGGAGTGTGCCACCACTGCCTGGCAGTTTGGGTGATTTGTTTACTTATTCTTTCATTGATGTTTGTCGGATTGTTTTTCCCTAAATTACTATAAGGCCTGTCTTTAGAGAATCGAAAAAGCCAAAATATTCAGTTAATTGGTCTCCCCCTCCATTTTACCTCTAAACAACAAGTTCAATTAAATGTAAAAAAGAAAAAGAAAACAGAGATGAAACAAGCAAATGCATAAGTAATTTTAGGTTTTGCCTCATCATTGTTCTGGATTTTTAGAGCAGGCAATGGGACCTGGAGAGGAGGCTCAGTGTTAGAAAGACTTGCTACTCTTGCAGAGAGCCCCATTCGGTCACCAGCACCCCGAGATGGGATCTGGAGAGGAGGCTCAGTGTTAGGAGGACTTGCTACTCTTGCAGAGAGCCCCCATTCAGTCACCAGCACCCCGTGATGGCTCGCAGTCCTCTTCTCCACAAATGATGTTGATGACAAGCACCCATCAAAGAAAGAACCAATTCTTAATGCTAAATGAACTAAACCTTGTCAGGAAAAGAAGAAACTAGAGATTCCTATAATTGTTGGTTAAATGTACATTGTCTTTCTCTTTTTCCTCTGAAATCAACTTTAATGAAAGGAGGTGAACTCTAGCATCCTAAGAACTTCATGCTAGATAACAGCCCACTTACCAATGTCCAAAGCAAAATTTCTAACAGCAAACTATACAATTGCTCCAAGTCATAAACAATGTTTGACCTTTACCAGTTAAGAGAAATCTTTATATTTCACAAAATCTATCACAGTTTCAGTATGTAAGGTTTAACAGATACATTTCAAATGCAATATGTTTTAGTGTAATAAGAATCTAAAAGTGTTTACTCTCTAAAAATAAACCTCATTTTCAGGATTCAAAAATTCCATCCTTCAAAAGAGCTGTCCATTGCCCTTCCAGAACATCAAACTTTCCATGCTTTGACTGTCCCGGGCCACTCCAGACAAACCTGTCATGGCTGTACTCATTTCATCTCTGTTGTCCTCCCAAAGCAAAGTTTAAAATAGAACTGTGGAATATCCCATGAATGCCTATGTCATCCTTACATTGGAGCCATGCTAACCTTCTCTGAATTGTTCCAATTTTAATACCTGTGCTGCCAAAACAGGTACAACATTTTCTTAGCCTGGACAGTGTGTGTGTGTGTGTGTGTGTGTGTGTGTGTGTGTGTGTGTGTTACATATATATTATACTTTACATTTATAATATACTTTGTATATGGTATACTCTATAAGTGAGAAAGGTAGTTCAATTCACTAATAAAACACATACAAACAGAAGTCTTAACAAGTGAGTAAATTCTCCAGAGAAATCCAGTGTTCAACAGCACTCTCAGTGAGGGAAGCCAACCACAATGGGGCATCTTCCATGTATATGCAGTGTTCTGAACAGAAAGTCACTCTAAAGACAATGTGTAGACAGCAGTTAGTTGGGGTTTCAGAGAAGCATGGGAAGAGTAAAGGGAAACGAAGATGACTTAATAAATGAAGGTTTTGTTATTCTGGTGAGAAAAGCATCTCTTTTATTTCCCCCTTCTTTCCAGTGTTTGGGTACAGCCTCCTGTAAGTGCTGTACCAGTGAGTCACATCCCAGACTTCAGAGAAGAAAAATATCCAAACTTTAAGATGATGGTGATGTTCCTACTTCAGTGACTACAGTAGAAATGATTGGCTTGTATGATTTGGACGGATAAGTATGATGCACGAGACTGATATGAGCTTTAAAAGCAGCCTCCAGGGCCTGGAGAGATGGCTCAGTAGTTAAGAGCACTGAATGTTCTTCCAGAGGACTGGGGTTCAGCTCCCAGCACCCACGTGGCAGCTCACAACTGCCTGTAACTCCAGTTCCAGGCAACCCGACATCCTCATACAGACATGCATGCCAGCAAAACACCAATGCACATAAAATAAAAGTAAATAAACTATTAAAAAAAAGGAAAAAACTGCCTTTAGATGTTCAGCTACCCAACACACACATAAGTGTGTCCGTTACTTTTGTTGCTGTGATCAAGAAGAAATACCTGATAAGTTAAGGGCAGAAGGTTTAACCAGCTTATGGTCTGAGAGGGTGCAATCCATTGTGCCAAGGAAGGCATGGGTGGCATGAGTCTAAGATGAAGATGGCTGCTTACATTCCCTCAGCAGTCAGGGAACAAAAGAGGACAGAAGGCAGGACAAGACTAGAAAGTCTCAAGGCCCACCCCAGTGGCCTACAGCAAGATCCCACCAACTAAAAGTTCTGCACATTGCCCACACAGCATCACTGTGAACCTGCAGAGACATCTTAGGCTAAGAAAGTTGCACTGAGTCAGTATGCCCCAGTCGAGATCAGCAGAGAGCAGCGCCTGCCTGTGTTACCCCTCCTCCTTCTTTGGCCATGATATTTTCCTGCTCTCTATTTGAACTCGTTGTATAGCTTGTATAGCTGAGGATGACCTTAAATTGCCTCACTCCTCCCTCCCCCACCTTCAATTCCTGATGCCCCACTCCTCCCCCCACCTTCAATTCTTGATCCCCCCCACTCCTCCCTCCCCACCTTCAATTCCTGATCCCCCACCTTCAATTCCTGATGCCCCACTCCTCCCTGCCCCACCTTCTATTCCTGATGCCCCACTCCTCCCTCCCCCACCTTCTATTCCTGATGCCCCACTCCTCCCTCCCCCACCTTCTATTCCTGATGCCCCACTCCTCCCTCCCCCACCTTCTATTCCTGATGCCCCACTCCTCCCTCACCTTCAATTTTTGATCCCCCCCACTCCTCCCTCCCCACCTTCAATTCCTGATCCCCCACCTTCAATTCCTGATGCCCCACTCCTCACCCACCTTCAATTCTTGATCCCCCCCACTCCTCCCTCCCCACCTTCAATTCCTGATCCCCCACCTTCAATTCCACGGTGCTGTTTACAGCCATGAGCAGTGCTGATGTAGGAGCCACACCCTCAGCCGTCCGCTACTTTTAGAATATGCACTGATCAATGGCCCTGGCCCTGGATTGTACACGAAGCCTGGTACCTGAAACAAGCAGTCCTCCTAGATGAGCCTCCTCTCAGACTCGGCTATATGTCAATGCTTCCCCCCACAAACCTCTGTCCTAGCCCAGAGATGTTGAGAAAGGACTCTGGTTGTCTGTGAATTAGACTTCTAGAAAAAGAGTTAAGTGGGTCATGTAGCGATCATGTGTGCCAGAATGAGATGCTCTGTGTGCAGGTAATGGAGACACACACCAGGGAGCACACAACCTCTCCTGGCTATTAACCGGTGCAGGTTTCTTATGGTTGTCCCGTAGAGCTGGGCCATGTTGTTCTCCATTAGGAGGGCAGAATGTGAGGAGCTCAAAGAGTGTTGTGTGTGCCTCGGCATCAGGGATCCCCGGCCGTGCAAACCATGCAGATCTGAAAGCCCCATTTCCAATGGTGAACTTGTGTTGAATAACCATGTTTGGAGTGGCTGAGGAAGAGGACCGCTCCTAAGGGCTTCTCTGAGCTCACGGTGTACAGATGCCAGACACGTGGTTTCCCTGAGAAGCTCTGCCTTTCCCAAACGTCCCCACCCCACTTCCAGAGCTCCTTGCTTTCCTCTGCAGAATGTCTTCAGGATGTGGGACTTGAAGGAACCACTGAGTCACCAAGCTGTCTGTGGTCTGACTCCCCAGGGCCTTCAGTTTTGACTTGACAAGATTGCGTGAGGACACTGATCTTTTTCTTGTCACTGACAAATGGCAAAGTTTTCACAGGCTGAAATCAAAGTTCTTAAGTGAGAAATGAAAGAACCAATTTGTCCATCATTTTGGTACTCTGCTCAAACACTTAATAATTAAGGGACAGGCCTCAGCATTCCAGTTAATTGCCTAAAAAGGTTGTTCTAGTTTTCCTTTGAGTTTGCAGTGTTGACAAACTGCCAACACTCTTAAGAAAAAGTCTTTTAAGCATTTAGATGAAAATCATCAAGGAGTTTAGGTAGGTCACTCATTCAAAATGAAATTTAAATTTCCATATAATAATTTTGGTTTCATAAAATTTTACATGTAAAGAAATTCCATATAAGTCTCTCATCTAAGAACCAATGAACAGGAGTGACTTGTTCAAGTTTCTGTAGCTAATATTTGTACAGCTAGGGTCAGGAGAACCCAGGTCCTTGGCCTCCTAAATTATCATCACTGTCTTCTCCAGAACTGTGGCAGTTGAGGCGGGGCGGGGGTGGGGAGGATACTTGGCAGAGAGAGAGAGAGAGAGAGAGAGAGATAACATCTCTAGTCAGAGTACTTACGGACTAACCTACTCCCTGCACTGAAAATGCAGACTTCCTGGCAGTCAAAAAAGCTGGGAAAGAGACCTTTCCAGCCCATAGCTGCCTCATAAGGTTCGGAAACTAAAACCCAGCGTTTACTGTGTCAGGACCCACAAGGCCAAAAACGAGCCGTGACTCATGCCAGTCTTAAAGAGTTGCAATTATATCTCTTAGTATTGCTCTCATATCAAAATAATAATAGCAATTATGTGCTCTTACAATTTATATACAAATGTCTATTTATCCTTGTAGGGTCATGTAATTTAAGAGAAATAAAGAGTTCCAATGAAGAAACACTACTGCTCCATTGCACTGGTCTTGCTGCCCGATTTTCCTTAGGGCTGCTAGGGAAAGGCCTAGCAGCCCTTCTGTCTGCAGACGCTGTCTAAACAGCTTTGCTGTGAGCTATTTCTGACATTGCTAATGTGTGCTTCTACAGAACACTTTCCTGGGGCAGAGGGCAGTTGAGGAAGCCCTGCAGGCTCTAGGAAGACAGTGAACTTAGTCTGAATAAGGAAAATTGAGGTTGCTCATTAGGCGTAAGGCCTATCAGTTAATGTTCTCCTTGGAAGAATTTCTCAGAACCAGATGAGAACCTTTTAGGGAGATTCATACAAGGCAATGGTGTTGGAGCAGTCAGCAGCAGTTTTCAGCGAGAAGCATAAGCCCTCATTCCCTAATCACTTTTGGATTCGTTACTAAACATGCCTGCACAATAAGACGGGCCATAGGGACACCACAGGCTTTTGTGAGCATACAATGGCATAAATACATGGTTGTCCCTAGCCTGTCACATGCACAGACTGCATCTTCCTGATACTTCCTTCTTATCCTCCTTCCTCCCTACCTTTCTAAAAAGTGATATGTGTGTATGTGTGCATGAGTGTGTGCATGTGTGTGTGTGTGTGTGTACATGTGTGTATGTCACAGCACACATGTGAAGGTCGGAGGACAACTTTGTGGGGGTCTGTTCTCTCCACAAACCTTGTGTCCAAGGTTTGAACTCGGGTCACCAGGCTTGGGCAGCAAGCATCTTTACCCACTGAACCCTTACAATTTCAACCCTTTTTTTTTCTTAAGGAAATCAACTCAGAGTTCTGCTTGTACCGTTCAAGAGAAAAGACAAACCACAAGCAGACCCCTGGAGCCATCTGAAATACAGGAAGCGGAGGTCTAAACTGTAGCTCCCAGGGAGGTAAGGAAGCACCAGTCTGTCTGCCAGGAAGAGCAGCTTCCCAGTGGTCAGGTCTTGTTTCACTCTGTGGCCCAACAGTGTCACTATCACCTGGACCTTCTAGATGTGGAACTCCTGAGGTGGCACCAATGGCTCTGTGGCTCCAGCAGCTCTTCCAGGTAATCCTTGTCCACCTTCAAGTATGAGGAGCCCTACACAAGAGAACACACTGTCGCAAATCTGAAAGGACAGCAAGGCATTGGCCAGACAGCAAAGGGATTTCCAAGAGCTAAAGTCAAAGAGACTAAGGAAATGCGGAACAGTCAAAGCCTCTGGAAAGGCTTCAGGAACCATGTAGGGATTAAAAACGTCACAAACATCTTCATTCATCTAGTCGACATGAACCCACACGCTGCTCATTCATCTTATAACTAGAGATGAGCCAGGGAATTTATTAAAAATGGGCTGGGCAGGCTGATCCCCAAGACAGGAAGGGATCAGCAGTAAAAACCTTGAAGACCTGAGGCTTTAGCAACAGTGAGAGAAAAGGAAAATGTGAAGACAGTATGCTACCAGTCCTGGGAAGAAGGAAGCCAGGGCAGAAGTATGCGGTCCAAATCCCGGGGGGCTTTAGGAAAGAGAAGGAAAGTAC